GCAGCCTCAGGCTGCGGCGTCTCTTCCAACGCCGTCCGATCCTGAGCGGGTCGATAGACAAGATATTACCCCATGATGCGGTGATATCCAATTTTGAAGGATAGCGTCAAGGCGCTGCACCATAGTAAGACATAGGAAGACATCTTAGTTATCTTCTTTCCAAGTTTGATGGATTCAGCTACTTCGAATCTCTCAATGAAGAACGCGGTGCTCAGCTGTTTCTTGGTAGCCGAGACGCGCCGTGTCGCTTGCACAGGCGCTTTCTCCCATTTCAGGGGACTCAATTCCTTTACAGAAAATAAGTTCAAGTGGTATCCTCAACTGCTCCGAACCCTTGAAACGCCCGCTACCCTCCCTAAAAGATGCTCAAAGCTTACTTGGGCGAGGACCCTGTGGCTTTCAGCTGGTGGGGAAAAAACAAACACCTCTCACACACTCCGAAAGGCTCTTCTAAAACGCATGGTCAACAGTGCCCCATAGTTTGTTTACCATCAAGATGACTCTCCAAAACAAGTTTACAGCCCACCCGGTGGGGAAGTGAGTACTTGCCCCAAAGTTGGCCCTGTTGGGTTTTCTGAAGTTGAATCCTGCTTCAGCTGAATTAAACACTTTGGGGTGAACACTTTGGGGGGCAAACTGAAACCACCCCAGTGGCCCCGGCTTTGGCCCCCGATCCCCTCTCTCAGCCCCCGGCTGCGCTGGCAGCGAAGGTCGCAGTGACGGAGGTCTGGGCGAAGGATTCTATTGACTTTCACCACCAAAAGGCGCGACTATAGTAGGATACTATGACTAGTTATTTCGCCCCTTCTGTAGCCCCTTCCATTCCACACGCGTAAGCTTCTATTTGGTACTCTAGAAGGAATATAGGCAACCTTATAGAGTTCCAGAGTCAGCTTGCGTTGGTTGATGTAGTAAATACTATTTGGAACCTTGTCGCCACCCGGCTGAAAAAAAAGGTCAAAAACGAGGGGCCGCATCCCCTTCACGTAGCACTTCCCCTGGACGGGTGTGTCAAAAGATAGGGAACCCCTAATGGTTGCTTTCCTTTGGTTTTCCTTCCTTGCTTGGGAATTCCTAGATGAGCGACTCTATAAACCTCCCATGAATACCTATGTCGTATCAAGTTGCTTACGCGCGAGCTTGCGCTTTCCTTACGCGATCCATGTTTTAGCTTACGCGGCAGTCAGTGAGCATGTTAAGCTTACGCATCGCTTACGCGTCGGCGTTTTGAGCGTTTCCCCTCAAGAATTGCTTACGCGGGCTCCTTGTCTCATGCAGCCGCCAGAAATGTTCAAGATGACGTGGACGACTCTGAGCAAGAAGATGACGAAGAGCTACCCTTCCGAGTTTCAGCGGCTTGGCGTTGTTGTTCTTCGGTCAAGAAACACATTATGCGGAAGCAGCATCCGTCGCGGCTAGTGGGCAGCCGAGCTAGGCGAGCTTACGCAAACCTTACGCGCCTGCTTACGCGAGCTTACGCGCCCAAGCCCCTTTGGTTTCCCTAAATCAGTGGTTACAGAAGCCTGTTTGTTCCAGCAAAGGGTTGCAACAGCACCTAGCATGAGCCCCAAGAGCTCTCAACCAAAGCTCTGCTGTTGCTTTCTAACGGCGCGCGCATGCGGTCTTAGACGTCTTCCTGCAGCCAAAGTCTCCGAGCAAGTTGCCAAGCTCCAACAGCACAAGCCACGAATAAACACATGGGCGAAACAACTCTTCCCAGCATGCTTATAAAGCCTACCGAGCAATCACGACGGAGAGCTTACGCAGGTGCTTACGCAGCATGTTTCCCCAAAAAATGCTTACGCCGGCTTACGCCGTGCAGGGTTTTGCTTACGCGGGGCCCTGTTATGACACAACTCTTGCTTGGGATGTAACGGGGGGTTTTTAGAGCTGCTCAGATGTCTTGAAATAGGGATACTCCAAAAAATGTTAGCTTCCTTTGGTGTCCCTCTAAAATCGCTCCAAAATGACTACCGTCCCATCTCAATTAGTTCGGAGCTCCCGGAGGAGCCCCGTTGGTTTCCCCTCCGAACCATCCAAGGGAGCGCCCTTTCCGGACTGTGAGGTGTCAAAACCGGAAAAAGTTGAGGGGCCCCAACTCCGGTAGGTACGGGTGTTTCTGCTTTTGAGGATCCGCTGTAAGCATGGGTGAATTGGCACGTTTAGCCCCTGCAGGGTTCCCTGTATTTCTCCCTAACCTCACCGCCCCAACGGAAACTCACCTAAGCAACTAAAAGGTTGTCTAAAACGTCCAAACGGGGACATGAAGGGCCCCTACCCTTCTTCCAACAACGAAACAAGGAAGTTCCTCAAAAGGACCGTCGTCTTAAAAGCCCTCCTGCCAGCTTCCACCAGAATAGGTCCCCCAAAGGACACTCGCCACTTGAGTTGCTGGCGCCATAGGCAGGGAATGAGAATTGGAATGACCGCTAATTACAAAATATCCAACTGGTGGTTCCCTTTTTTCCGGTAATCTCTTGGGTTCATTCAACCACATTCCCTGCGTATCGCACCAGCAAGTCTTGAGTGGGCCGGACAAAATGGTGACGTCTACCTCCAAACCGTCAGAAACGAGCACCAGGCCCACACTGCAAGGTCCAGCTTCACGTCCTTCTGGACAGCCTGTGGCAACAACTTACACAAATTGGTCTGCCTTTTTGAGGGGAACTTTCTTTTGGGTGGTTGAAAGGGAAATGAAAGGAACAAACTGCGTTTCTGTTTCTTTCTTTTTTTCTTTTCTGTTTTCAGCATGGTTTCCAAAGCGGGGGGGGGTTCAACTGGGTACCTCCTTAGAAGGACGCGGCTCCGCATATTCCCCCAAAACATCCAAGGGCAAGCTTCACCACCAAAAAGGGAACTTTTCTTGGATGTCCAGCCAAGTAAGTTGGGGTGCCCAGGCTACAACCTCAGACGTTCCCGTTTTTTGTTTCTTGTTTTTTGCATTTTTCGCCTCACAGGATGCTGCATCCAAGTGGCTAACCTCCATCCCCGGGACGCGCCTCCTTCAGCTTCAGCTTCACCTCCCGGAAGGGCGCGCCGGAGGCCAGCAGCTGGAAGAGCCCCGCCTCGGGAGTGGCCGCAGAGTTTTTGCGTCGCAGGCATCTCGGTCGCTGTCTGCTCCCCTGTTGAAAGTTTTTAACTTTTGGTGGCTTGATGGGAAAGCCCATTGGTTGGCCCCGGGTTGAAGTCCTAACATCCAAGCAAAATGCAACAAAGGCATCTAGGTCTTACGTACTTTGGTTGAGAGATCGACACCTTGGGACAAAATCAAAGAAACCAAATTCGGTTGGGAGGAAATCTGCATATGTGGAGGACGTCTGTTTAGGAAACCTAGTCGAAAACAACATCCTGGCGCAACCCTTAGAGTGCAGAAGACCGTTTCAGGGAAAATCAGCCACACAGGCATTTCAGCATTGTACAGGGAGTGTTGTTCAACATGAAAGGGTATCAATTTCGGACATCCTGTCCTTCAATGTGATCGGAAGGCCTGAAATCAGCCTACATTTCGCTACACTTTCAGTCACAAGAACCGCGCAACCCTGTTCTACCGCAGCTTTTCCACCAGAAAAAGACGAACCCTTTTGGTTGGTAGATTTCATTTTTGAAGAATGGAATGGGGAACCCACAGGCCTGGGAACAGCTGGCACAAAGCGGGTTGAAAAAAGGATGGGATGTGAGCCACCGAAGTTTGAAGGTCAGGTCCTGTCTTGGGTTTTAACATGGCAAACAAACCCAAAGGATTCAAGTATCTTCTAAGGAGACCCCAAATCACACACACACACACACCCAGCCAAAGCCTTTCTTGGGCACCGCTACACTTGGTTTGCGCTGGGCTCACACATGAGCCTCATACATATATATATATATATATGCCTGGACCTTCCAACCACCCAGGGAGGATTGTCCCAAAGTTCCGGGTGCCAGGACCTAAGGGCCGTCGATTGGTGCCCAAAATGGCCACTCAAGTCTTCCAAAAGAGGGCCGGCTTCACTTGCACTTGCAGGGGAAGAAAAACCAGGCGAAGGGTTTCAAAAGAATACGAAAGGGGTGTGTCAAAATAATACGCAAGTGGCCGACTCCCCACAGCTACCCGCTTTGCCTCTTAGCAACAACCCTTTTCCAGTCTCCTACTTTTCGGACGCAGGACCGCCTGCCTCCACCGCCGAAGCATTTACCTGACAAGGGAGGCAACCAGCAAACAATTCGCATGTCACGCGGATGACTTTTGGGCACGTAGATCTTTTCTGGCCAGCCAAAACACACAAGTTTGGCTCAGTGAGTCCATTGTCCCCCCCCTCCGCCGGTCTTTGCAACAATGTTTGAGCCCGAGGCCCTTTGCCCTTGCTGGCCCAAGTCACGTGCCTTCAAACCGACCCGTGTGTTCGTGGAGCCCCGAAAGAACTCGGGCAGCAAGGGTGGTCTGGAGGACGGGCACAAAACCCGCATTTTGAAGCAGGTTGATCCAAAGACCTAAGCTAACATCTTCATGGGCGTGCAAAGTGTGACGGCGTCTGACTCAAGTTTATCAGCTGTGACAGAGGTACGGCCAAGAATTCTACACTCACACGAGCTCCTAATTCACTCCCAGCCACCCGCGCCTCGGCCTGTGGCTCAGCAGGCGATTCCTCCGGCGTCCTAAGGCGCAAACTGCGTGCCCTAGATAAATCTTGCAAGCAAACCAAGTGGGAAGTACTCAATCAGCTCCCCTCCCTTCGAATTGAAGGTGCGAAAGGACCGCTTTCTACTGTGCAAAAGCCATCAGGAGGCACCAAGGAAGCAACTCTATAAACCTCCCATGAATCCCTTTGTCGCATCAGGTTGCTTAAGCGCGAGCTTGCGCTTTGATTACGCAACCAATGCTTGTGCTTGCGCGGCGGTCCGCGAGCATGTTATATTAGCTTGCGCATCGCTTACACATCGGCCTTTTGAGTGTTTCCCCTGAAGAATTGCTTACGCGGGCTCCTTTTCCGATGCAGCCGCCAGAAGTGTTCAAGATGACGTAGATGACCCTGAGGAAGAAATGACGAAAACTACCCTCACAAGATTCAGCGGCTTGGCATTCTTGTTCTTATACCGGGTCAAGCAACGGCTTATGCGGCGTCGGCATCCGTGGCGAGGGCTAGCAGGCAGCCGAGCTAGGCGAGCTTACACGAACCTTACGCGCCCAAGTCCCTTTAGTTTTCCTAATTCCGCAAATTCAGAAGCTTTTTTCCTGGCATGAGCCCCAAGAGCTCCCAATCAAAGTTCTGCTAAGTCTCCGGGCAAATTGCCAAGCTCGACTAGGTTGAAACAGCACAAATCACCAATAAACATAAGAACATGCGTGAAATCGCACTTCCGAGCATGCTTACAAAGCTTACCAAGCAATCACGAAGAAGAGCTTACGCGGGCGCTTATGCAGAACATTGCCAAAAAAAGTGCTTTCGCCCGCTTACGCCGTGCAGGGTTTTGCTCCCGCGGGGACTTGCTTGTTGCAGCACAACTCTTGCTTGGGATGTAAAGGGGGGGTTTTCAGAGCAAGGGACTCTCTGGGAACCATACTGAAGACCACCCCTTTTGGTTGCCAACTGCACATGAGTTGTTTATTGGCGGAGTGATGTTCAAAGAGCAACATACTGTGCATGGGCAAAATCCACACTAGGCTGCAGTTGGGATGGATGACCCCGGTGAGTACTGGGATAAAATACCCACCAACAGGTGCAGGATTTTGAACATCCATTGTATGGCCTGAAAGGGAACTAACATCAAACTCCATAGTCACGGTCAACACACGCAGCTTTCTTTAAGGACATTGCAGAGCTAGAGTTCGCCCCATGGTGTTCGTGGTTCAAGTTTACAGTTGTCCTTTCCAAACGGACCGCTCACGACTGATAGTTCGACCACACCTCGTCTTTCAGCCCAACCCAAGTAAGATAATCATTGTCTGGCTTTCGGCTGGATATCTCTCTGTGTCATTCTCATGTGGAGGTTCTCCGCTCTAGACGTCATTAACTCCATCAATCACAAGCTAATTATGCTAGCACGGAAACCAAACAGACATGCCAAGAACAGCAAAGCGGGGGTGTCCTAGAGCACCATTTTGGGGGGTCCCCTGATTTTGATTTACACCTAATTGCTAAAATAACATCCGGCCTCCAAACTTAGAAGGTTGGCAGGTCGCCAAATGCGAGATGGATGATCGAACCTCCGAAATGGGGACCGTTTCCATTTATCCCTTTCAAGCAAACAGGGCACCGACTCACAAATGCCTCGAGTATCCTCACCTGTTGATGGGAAATGAAAGGGACGCTCGTTTTGAGGTTCAATATTGGACCAAACCCATTTTGACCGAACCTTAAGTAACAACCAACACTCTCGGTACTCAATCGGTTCATAGGTTTACTCAAACTCAAAAATAATAAACAAGATAGATGTTCTGTTGCACTTCTGTTTCTGGCAGGGCACTTCGATTCACTTCTTTGGGTTGGTCTTCCCCCAAACACACATTTCGCTTGTTTGGCGGGGGGTCGTTTGCCTTGCGGGGCATCAATCCCCCATCGCGGAACTCAGCCTTTGGGGTGTCCAACAGTCCACTGAAGATGTCCTGATCTGCTGAGTTGACTCGCAGGGACACGTTCTCATTTTCTTTGGGCCTTGACCAAAAGGCATTTCCAGGACAAACGCAAGCAACACGAAAACCACCAAATTTGAGGGTCCGCTATTCTGAGGCGGCCCCTTCTGAGTTTTGTATTGTGTAATTCTTTGTCTGCAAATGTGGCTGTGGGTCAACACCCTGTACTGCTGGTGAACATCAAGATAGGTGGTACATGGGTGTTCATCCGCAAAATGGAGGAATAGGTGACCCATGGCCATGTCAAGAACATCCACATTCTGACGTTGAACCGAGACTTCGTCTCATCTCCCTGGCTCGGAGACTCGTCGAGGCGCTGGGGGCTGAAAGGATCGCGCCAAATGGCCTCAGTTTCGTCACAACCACCCTCCAGCGGATTCCAGGCTTGCAATAAGGAGGTATTCGGGTATTTGGACCTTAGACAAACCTGTCACTACCAAAGACAAACCGACACACGGCAACTGCCCCGTTGTGGATCCACCGGTCGGGCATGGTGGACACACTTCTAAGGGTAGGCTACTTGTATGTCGTGTTGCAATCCATGTGGACACGTAACACATTTCTAAGGGTAGGCTACTTGTAATTAAGTAGTGTTGCAACCCATTTGGACTTGTAACCATGGTAACTGAGCTATGACCAGGGTTACTTCCTCACTTAGTCAGTTATCTGACATGACCTGCCCCTTCAAGCTGGTCTGTTGCAAGCCTTGTCTTGCTGGTTGTCAGGTACTTCAAGGGTTTTTGGATTTCACCTAGGAATCCCCTACGAACATACAAGGAATGGCTCAGTTCGGGATCATTTCCCTGTTTACAAAGAACCAGCACGTCGTTAGCGGCGTTATGCGGCGTTTTTGCATCGGCGTTCTCAGATCCATGTCCTTTCTTGATTCTCAACGCCAGCCCCTGATGACCAGCAATCAGTTGGTAAGAGCTTAGCAACCCAAATAGGATTCGTCTGTCATTCTGGCTTGTTTATGCTTAGACCAAAAGGGTTTCTTTCAGGGTGCCCGAGGTTTCCTCTTGAAACATCACCTCTAAAAGAAGATCTCACAGCACTCTGGCCCAAACAGGCGATGTTTGCAACACCCCAGCCACCGATTACCCGGATGTTCAACCCACTTAGTACCTTGTGACCATGGTTATACACTGCATGGGATATCTAGGCTTAGCTCCTGCTCTTACGACCCTGGGTGTCATCCAATTACCTGCGGCTGCTTGGCCCCAGCCTGCCGCCTCTTCTTCCTGACGTATCGGAAGAGCTCCTGTGCAAAAAGGGATGTGGTGGGGTGTGTGTTTGGGTGTGTGTGTGTGTGAGTCTGTGGGACCCAATAGTCTTCACTAGCAAGAACAGTTTGTTCAGTTTTGGTTCACATTGCGGCAAAACAGGCTTTGGCCAACTGCCTGCTTAACAAAACAAAAGTGCTGCAACTACGATTGTGTCAACTTCCGCTGTCAATATTCAGCAGGTGTCCCCAACATGGGCTGTTGGTGAACCATTACCTCATGTGAGGCGAACAAAATATGTCTGGCTTTGGGTGAGCGCTTGAACTGATTTGTAGCTCCCATCCCTTCCAACTCTAACGTGCAATTGTCCCCCGCAAGCGCTCGGAACTGAATCAGAATCCGTTTTTTCGGATCCCGTGAAACGAATCGGTCCCCTATCATCCTATGGTTGTCAGGCCCCCCAACCCCCCAAAGAGGAAGACTCCCAAAAAAGGGCACCCAAAAGGAACCCTATTACTAGCCTATTACTATATAGCTTGATTGGGGAATTGGCCTATTGGCTGCCCTCGAAAGCCAATATGATGTGAGCAAATTCAAATTCTCGCAGAGCATGCCTCGTGGATGGCCCATATTGAGAATTCCACCCGAAGATGATCTCAACTGCAGGGGCCCCAAATGGTCTTCTCTATTGCTTTCCCTTCAAAACCACCCCTCCAAAAACGTGCCCGCCAAAAAACAAAAACAATAACACACACACACACACATTCACCCTAAGACCTGCAGGAATCACCCCAAACCTGGCTTCCCTGTTTCGGTCCCGCGATCGCGAAGGCGTCGCCGTCGGCTCAGAGAATGGCACTCCCAAGGCTTGGAGCGCCTCGGTGAAGTTGGTGATCCTGACCGGCGCGTCTTAAGGCGGAAGCCCAACATGGGTTTGCCTTTTCATTGGGGGTGAACCTCCAAAATTGGGAGTTTTCCTTTGGTTTCCCCTTTTGAAAGCGCAAACAAAAAGTCACAGCCCACGTAGGAGGTCGGCTTCTTTTTGGCTTCAATTCAATACCCCTTGGCAAAAAGGGGTTCCTCATTTTTTCGGTGAGTCTCAACTCAAAGAGCAAACCCCTCGGGATCCCGAAACCACCTTTTAATCGCTTGTTCTGCGGCAATCCACAGGTTGGTTTGAGTCGTTGAGGGGGAACCAGCGGTCGTGCTTGAATGGTACTTGGACCAAGGCTGCCTGAATCTTCGTTTGCGCACTTTTTTCTGCTCAAATGCTTGTTTGCGCGTTTTGTGGTGTTTTTTGCGCGCTTTTTGGAATTTGCGCACTTTTGAGAGATTTGCGCACTTTTCGGATGAAACTCCTCTGGTAGCCAAATTCGGCACTGCTTGTGTAAACAACCGATACCGCGCTGCTCGTGCCCGTGCCGGCGCAGCTGTTTGTTGAAGCCCTTGATGTTTACAGCATATCTAGCTCGTCTTTGTCTCCACCCAAGCCTGTTTTAGGCAGGAAATTTGTGGCACACCCGGCACAAGTACCAGCTATATCACTTGCACTTGACACTTTGAGGCCATTGATTTGGCAACCCGCTTGGCTCCGTCAAGAGCTCCCAGCCCGCAAGTATTGCCTGGGTTTGCACGGATCCGCTGTTTGCTCCAGAACTGTGCTTGCGCCACATTTTTGTTGAGACAAGTCGCTGATAGGTGAAATTAGTCGATTTTCGGCGCCTTGCCAGCCCGCAATTTGCGCGCAAAAATCCGGTACTATCGCGCAAATATCCGCAATTGCGCGCAAATTCGAAAAGTGTGCGCATGTATGCGTGCGTTTTTGACCTTTTAATTAGGCAGCAGATGTGTAAAGCGCCCGAATTGCCAACCAACAGATCGGTTTTGAGCCACATGTGGTCGTCGCTTGAAGCTGCGCCACTTGCAAGAGCCGTTCGAATTTCTTGCAATATCAGGAGTTGAAACTTGTTTCACTTGACTGTCAAGCTGGCTTGGCAATGTTGAAGGCTATTCCCGACAACCGCTCCTTTGGGTCATCTAAATTCTGGCCGATTAGGCGCATGTATCCTTGCGTATAGTTGTTTTGGAACAGCTTGACAGGTTCATGTCCAGGCTATACACACCCCGCACCTTTTTCAAACCAGCCAAAAACGCCTCGCGCAGTTCTTGGAACTTTGCGTGTTTTTTGATTGAAACGCGCACTTTTCCGTTGTGCGCACTTTTTTTTTTGCTCAAATGAAGATGCAGGTGCTTCTTGAGAGGAAATACGAGGATTGTCTCCTCCGAAGGGTTGGGAACTATGGACGAAATCCAAAACGCAACCTTGGAATAATGATTCTCCAATGTAAATACCAATAACAAGTGGATTCAACCGTGGCTTCCTTTCATGGTGCGATTTCTGGACTTTGCAACCATCCAAATGGCTCGGATGGCTCGGATGGCAAACTGCCCAGGCCAAAAAATCCAATCGTGGCTTTGGGTGTCAAAGCATGCTGAGTGTTCACGTTGGTCTCCCTCGGGAAAAAAGCATGCCTAAGGGTGCCATCCAAGCCTCCAAAAAGACACACCCATCCAAAAAAAACCCTTGATGTTTCCGCGCGAACTCGAAATGGCCGACTGAACATCCGATCTTCCGCACCCTCCCTCAGTCCTCGGCACCACCTGGCGAATCCCGGACGAAAGTTGGCATTGACGGTAAGGGCTGTTGTAAAAGGGTAATTATCTCCCTTGGTACCTTCTAATGTACCATACTTAGAGGGCTCCCCATCAGGAGGTACCAAGGGAATTCCTGGGTGACATTGAGTGAGTTGTCCGGCCCAGCCCGGCAGAAAACCCCGGTATCTTTCAAATGTCCGCTTGCCCCAAATGACCTGGAAATACAAGGTTGGTCTTGAGTCTTGACAAAAAAATGCCACAACGGAATTAGGTTGATTCCAAAAGGTGACAGCTGCCACAGCTTACACAAGCCAAGACTGAAAAAGTGAGCACCTTTCTTGGTTGACTTCAAAGGGAACCCCGTCAGTCCACTGGGTGTCTGGATGCAGCTCCCCCGTAACCAAACGCCGCGGCGCCTGCGCAGGCGACTCCTCTTGCGACCGCGCCAGCCTGCAGGAAGGGCAGAAGACGTTTGGAAGTCATTTTGTCGGTTGGATGCACATTTGGGTGGAGATTGTGGTTGACTGCACCGGGTTTTGATCGACTCGCTTGGTGCTGTATTTTGAGAGTATCCTTCTTGTGGAGTGCTTTCAAGGAAAACCACAAATAAATCCAGTCATTCTGGGGTCCCCTCAATTTGACACGTTGTGTGACATGCCCATTTGAGTGAGCTCCCTGCCTGAGTGGATTGGGGAATATCTCTCAAATGGTCTAAACCTGACAACCCCAAATGTCTTCTGACCCCACGGCATTGCCTTGTGGCTACGGGCGCTACAAACAACGCCCTCTCCATTTGAGCTTGGGTCTCAAGAAACAGGGTTCCCGGCAGCAATTTGTAGACCAGGCAGCAGAAACGCTCCAAGCTGATCCCTTCGACAATCTCCGATTCCAACTGCTGCTTTCGAGTCACTGGACGATTTGGTGACTGCACTTGGATGCAGGATGGAGCCCTAGAGATCTCCACCCACCCACCCACCCACCCACCCACCCACCCACCCACCCACCCACCCACCCACCCACCCACCCACCCACCCACCCACCCACCCACCCACCCACCCACCCACCCACCCACCCACCCACCCACCCACCCACCCACCCACCCACCCACCCACCCACCCACCCACCCACCCACCCACCCACCCACCCACCCACCCACCCACCTCACAATATTGATAATATGCAAGTCTCTCAACATGGGCCCGATGCTTAGCCGGCTTTGAACAGCTTAACCTAAGGAGAAGCTTGGAGGAAAGGAGAACCAAGGAGCCAGGCTGGCCCGCCCTTGTCACACGGGGCCTGCATGTTTCCTTTATTGAGTTACAACTCAATAAAGGAAACATGCAGGGGCCTGCTCTGTTGCGGTTCAAGGGGAGCACCCAGGTGCAGCAGATATTCTTATACTGTGCACTTTGTTCATGGCAACGTTCAGATAAAACCACAACCTCTGACTCCTTGCAAGCTGATATTTGTTCACCTTGCTTGCGCGGTTGCGAAGCTTTGCCCGGTGCTATTGTTTGTCTCAGAACTGCGAAGCCCTATGGTGCTCTTTTGCTTTCCCTTTAAAACCTTTGAAATCATCAAACAACCGCAGGCATTCCTCCTTTCAACAGCCCTCCGTTCAACATCCGGCGGAACACCTCCTCAAACACGGGGCCCTGGCTTTCGTCAGATTCTGTTCAACAAGCCTAACTAAGTTGGAGGAGAGTAAATTTGCGAGTACTCCCTTGTAAACTTCTGAGCACTTGCACGAGCGCACTTGAACGTGCAAACTGGCACGAGCCCACTTGCACAAGCCAACTTACATGAGAAACCTGCACGAGCACACTTGCCCGAGAAAACTGGCATTCCACGAGAGATTGAACACAGATTTTAGCGCCGTGGGACCGAAGCCACTCTGCGAGATTCATGACGCTGGGATCGGAGTGGTCGATGTGCAACAACTGCGGACTTTTGCGACTTGAGGTGCACGCGCGATTTTTGCGGGGCTGAGGGTTTTTGTCAGTGGTCGATGTGAGGACGTTTCCTAGTTTTTGAGGTGTGCGGTCAACCCTCTGCGGGATCGGCGTGGTTATGTGCAAAATCTGTGGGGTATATGCAAAATCTGAAGGCTTTTGCAAAAACTTAGCTCATTTGCTACCATTTTTGTGTGCGCAGAATTTAAAAGTTGCATTGTCAGAAAGGGACGTACAGCCGTGCACATTTTGCACTGAGCAACTGTGAGCAACTTTCGTAGGACACTTGCACAGAGCACTTGCGCAGTGCAACATGCGCTGAGCAACTTCGTGGAACTTAAACAGAGAAACTTGCGCTAGGCTGCTTCCTAGCCAGACTTGTTCGCTTTCTGTAGTGCATCTGGCCGGCAGACTGATCCTCACCACACTTGATGCCTTGTGCATTTATTTGATTCAGTGCAGCCCACGTCATGAGTCTCGTCGTCTATCTTGCTCGAGAGGTGCAAGGCACATGGCACAAGGTACAAAGGCGCAAAGGTGGCCCGGCGCAAGGCACAAAGCACAAGGTGCAAGGTACGAGGCGCAAAGCACAATGCGCAAGGTGTTAGGCACGAGGTGCCAGGCGCAAGGCGCACTGCGCGAGAAAGGCGCTGCAAGGTGCAAGGACACAGCACCTTGCAAGCTGCAAGACTGCCCTTTTGCTCTTGGCTTCAATGTCAAACGGCTGCGTTGCTGCCGCGCTTGCCAAAACATTCTTGCCAAAGTATTGTTTTCGGGCCACCCGTCTTCTGGGCTTTTTGGGTTTGTGTTTTGGAGGGCGCCCTTTTTTAGAGTGCTTTACCATGTTGGGGTCCACGAGCCCCCTTTCCGGGACATCCTCCGGTGCTGGTTTCGCGCCTGGACCGGGATTCCTGCACACCCTGGAGGTCCCCAGCCGCCTGGAACGCCTCCGAGGGCACGAGGAATCCAGCTGAGGGGTTGAGGGGTAGTAAAAAGCCGGGGCTTGGCAACCCGGCTACTTGAATATCAAGGGTGAGCTCCCTTGCAACCATGGCTGTAACCTGGGGGTGGTTGGCAAATTTAGGGGTCATCTAACTTGCTCCGCCTCCCAAAGCGGTGAGATCGCCTGCATCGGGGTCAAAGGGACCATTGTTTGAGCCCCCCCATTTGCCTTCAGATCCTGGTTGAACGGGATCTGAGGCTCTAGGATCCTTTGGAATGAAACTGTATGCGAGGATAAACTGTTCTAGGGGTTGGTTCCCGTTCCATTCATGTCCCCATCGTTCCTTTAAGAAACCACAATATTCCCTGGGTGTTCAGCAACTTTTTGAAAAGAAGGTCACAATAAAGAATGGCCAGAATCTGGCGGGTCCAGAAATGGGGGACTCAGTTGGGGATGTTCAACAAAGATCCAAAGGTAAGCAGCAAAGGTGTTTGTGCTGCTGAATGCGGGTGTTTGTGTACAACCCAAGACTGGCAAAGCGCCTCTCTGGGGACCCATTTAGTGGGTAGCGGGATCCCATGGAACAACTGGAGGAGCTTCTTGTGTCTGAACTTGCTGCCCCCTTTCTGCTTCACGGAGTGAAGAGGAAACCACAAAGACACCACGCATCCACAGGGGGTCCAACTCCTAGTGTGAGAGCCTGTTTGCAGCTTCAGAATCCTCAAAACTTTGGCTATTGGACTACTTATCTAGCCAAATACCGCAGATGACTTCCCGCGTACCTTGCTTTCGCAATCTCTTATGTTACTTGCTCGTGCAACTTGTTTTGCAAACTCATTGCGTATCTTCATCTTGGGACTTGCTCTAGACTTTAGCAGCCTTTGGTGTAACTCGCTTGTGCAACTTGCTCAAGCAATCTCTCATGCAACTTGCTTGTGTCACTTATTGTCGCAACTTCCACGTGCAACTTGCCTGTCCGTCTTGACTTGCGCAATCGTTGCCAGGTGTGTCCCGCAGAATCCTTTGCACCGACATGATCTCGGGAAAACACAGCACAAGGCCAAACAAAACAACTGACGCCAACACAGCAGCGAGTTGCTTTGTTGTGCCAAGGCCAACAAGGCGCTCGATCCCTCCAGTTCTGTGGTCGGTTCTTTTGGCGCACCTCAAGGGTCAGCTCGTAGGCCTCTTCAGGTTTTAGGTCCGGTGAGCCCAGCAGCAACTGCCTAGGTTTGCCCAAGCCTGGTGGACGCCCCTATCTTGTAAAAGCCAATAGAATACATATATATATATTATATGTATTATATTATATATATTATAAATATACATAAAATATATATTGATTCGGAAACGGACTCGATTTACTGTCGGGTTTGCAGTCTTTGCTCCATGCTGGTCCAAACCCAACAAGGTTTAAGTCCATGAACTCAGGGAGTGAGCCTACTAGATCCCCGCAAAAGGGCATAAAGTTTAGAGGTGGACAGTCCATTTCTTCAGCAAATGCCGGTCGAGAGTAAAAAGCACAGCGTTGCTTGACCCTTTGTGGTGATGGCCTCTTCGCCTCTTTTCGGGATCCATGTTACTCGGTGACGCCGGGAGGCCCAGTTGGATCCCAGTCGAAAAAGGAGGCCTGAACTTGACTACCTCAACCTCTGCTCCAGGGTGAACCTTAGAGTATCAAATGCCAAAGCAAAACAGATCCCTCTCACCAACTAAAATGAATGAGCACAGGCCCTAGCAATGATTTGTTGCATCTTGGAAAAGGGCCCTGCGCACTTTGATGCTATATGGTGGGGGGGGGAGGGTAGCCTTTGAGAACTTTTTATGGGGCCTGGAAACATAGAGAAAGGTCGGCTTTCAAAAGGGGCAACTGGAGCACCCAGACTTACAATGGCAGTCTAGAATCTCAGTTGAAGTGAACAAACGTGGAACACCACAATCAACAAACTGAACTCGTTGCGGGCCCTCGTTTTCGGTGCTGAGAAAAAGAGAGAGCGAATGGCACAAAGAAGCTGTCTACTCCATGTTTCCTGCCCTTGGACAAAGAATGTGTACAGCTGAACCGGATTCCTTCCGCTCCCGAATTCACAAATTGTGAGTGAGAGCCATGCTCAGAAGGTGGGATTTGAAGAATGTCTGACCCTTCCGGCAGATTTCCTATCTCTCTCTCTCTCTCTCTCGGCGCGCGGCTGAACGATCTCCCAGACCTGGGCCAACAAATGGGCAGACCCTTTGCTGCGTCGGGGCTCCCAAAAGAAAGGGAAGCCAGCGAGATGGAGTTCGGTTTCGGGACATGGTAACTCACTTCCTGAGTTTCTGAGCTTCATGTGTCTTGGGCCAAAAGTTTTGGCGGCACCCTCCTTCAGATTAACATGGGAGAGGAATCTCCTCTTGGTGGACCTATTTTGCGGTTTCATGTTACGCTAGGCGCCAAAAACAGGAGCGAACGTTTAGTCTGGTGGTTTCCTTGGTGTCCTCTTAAACATCTTTGAGGGAACGAAGGCAAAGCGGACAAACACCCACCTTCTGGTGTGGAATCTTATATGCTACCTTCGGTGCTGACTTAAATTGAGGTCTGGTGGACATCCAACCGACATACTTGGTGGAACTTTGAAAAATGGAGCGAGGTCCAACGCATGCCACAACATACCCAACGTCTCCTCCAATCGCTCGTAAGGGCGTGTCTTAAAATAGAGACGCGCAAAACGGTTAGTTTCCTGTTCATGTCCATTTAAAACCAACTCCAAAGTACCTTGGTGAACAACGTGAAACATATCCCAATGGGCCGCCTGCCTCCTGGTATGGCACCAAGTGCCGGTCGCAGGAGACCAGAACCTGGAGGTCGCGCAAGCGAGCAGCTGACTGGCTTGGGTTTAGGCCATGCATGCTGTGTTGCTCTTTCCCCCTGAACTACAGGTTGAATGGAAAAGCCCCTTGCTTCCAAATGGCTGTGGGCTCCAAATTTGGAACCTTAGTAAATGGAACCAAGGACTAAAACCTGCGGTCCCCTGGTGCTTTAATTTTGACCCATACCCAAATATTGAAGGCCAAGGTCAGGTGTTCATCATGGGGGGAATCCCATATTCCCGGGTATTCCCAAGCCAAGCCGCAGTCCATAGTGGGACACAGCCAACAAGGGAAACAACGCCTGGCAAAATGATTACGGACTGAGTTTGCACCCAGCTTGAGGGAGAGTGGTGCTCTGGTGCCGCAATCCAGGACTTGAAACAAACTAGGGCAGCCACCAATCCAACAAAGGAATATCAGCTTCCTTCCAATTGGTGGTTTGGATTGGTGGTTTGGTGGTTTGGTGATGTTCCGTGGCAAGAACCAAAGGCTCAAGTCCAAATCCAAACCACCAAACCACCCCCCAAGTCGGTGCTTGAGGAAAACGTAGGCTGCCCCTGATTCTTGCGGCGCCTCCAGGAGCTGCTCGAATCGCCACCGCTGCTGCTCGGCAGATCCTCCCATCCGCCGATTCCACCCAGTGCCGAAAAAGCGGCGAGCCCTGGACTCGAACCAAAGAACAACCAACGTCTCCTCGACCTGTAAACGCCAAGGAAAAAGAACAAACAAACACAAAAACAAATCACGACGCGGGTTGTCCCTATGGAAAAACAACTTTCATGGGTAATCAGGTTTGGAACACTCCTGCATCATGCTCCTTTGGTTTTCCTTTGCTCCATAGAATTCCATGAACCATCGGGCATCTTGCCTGCTGAAAGCAGCGATTGCTCCAGGTACCTGCAGAGCAAGAAGGGGCTTTTGTGGTCAGGGGCATAACTCATGGTTCTCTTAGGACCCCTGGCATTGTTGTCGAACCATAAAAACATGTCTGTCATCTCTACCAGCCCCAAGCAAAGGGGTGGTGTGTCTTGGTTCCGCAAGTCCATCCTTGGAAGAACGTTGCAGAAGGGGAAAACAATGATTCAACTTCGATTTCCAGAGCTTTGGAGGGGACAGTCACCGTTGCAATTATTTGCCATAAACAGGGTTCCTGATTGTCCGATGCAAGCATCCCCGCCACAGGGATGTAGACGGGCTCCACAAGAGTATTTAAACATACAATCATGTAGGTGATATATATATATATACACATACATATATACCAACAGTTGACCCATTTGGATGGTAAATATGCGTAATCATTGCATGCGCATAGTGTTTGGGTTCGATCACACTTACACGTTTACAGACATATTTGTATATATGTATACATGTAAATATGTATATATATATATATATTGTATAGATGCAATATAGGGCCCCTTGGCAAATACCGCGACGGGATGGCCCCAGTGGGAGGGTTGGAGGGTAGGATTGCTCGGTCCCCCATTTTAATCCTCTATAGTCTTCCCTCAACAGGACAAGCTTGGGGATAGCCATAGCTCAAATCTAGGGTAACATCTTTCTCAAGGTGTGAAAAAGAAGCTCCGAGATTTGCCATAAAGACTCGCGCTGACACCTCCGGATTTCTCTGCTGGGGTGTAATTTATTGAGTCCCAAATTTTGGGCCGCCCTCCAAAGAGGGAAAAACAAAAAAGACACCAAAAAGAAAAACGCAATCCCTCGTTGAGGCGCCCTCCCATTTCGACACCCCGCTTTTGTCCTCGAAATATGTTCCCTCGCTCTAGGGTTATTCGCACGGCTTGCAACAGCGCCAAAGGCCATTTGAAGAATTCGAGAGGACACCAGAAGCATGTTCCCCTCGCCTTCCAGGCAAAATATTCTGAATGGAGCCAGTCTAGTACTAGTACTGTTCAATCAGCAACAGCATACCCCAGCATACCCCGACATACCCTTTGAACTGCCATGTTCATGTTGCCACAGTCAAAAAAGACAACTTTCCTTCATGGAGTATTGGGTGACTCTCATGTTTGCCTGTGTTCCATGGGTCATGATCATGAGTTGGCAACTATTTGTCGTGTTGTTTTGGGGACTAGCCGCTGGATTATAATGCGAACTCAGCATATAAATCCCGTGACCTGAAGGGATCCTGCACTTCACTTGGGAGGAGCACGTTGCTGCGTGCCTCGCCTTTTGTAGGCTGGAGCTGCCATTTGTGACCAAAAGGTCCCTCCCTTTGGGCGACTTGGTCACACCGGTCAGACCAGCCATACGTCAAAAGAATTTGGATTCTGATTTCTGAAGCGCTTGAAAAGTGGCTTCCTTGAACCAATCCCAAACCGTACGCACAAGCGGAATCCAAACGAAACCCAACCAACAATGGTGTGGCTGCTTTTTCTCACCACGAGACACCTGGGAGCGAACTACAGGCTCATGCAGCGTGCATCGGCTTATCTCAGACCCTTTCTGAAGGACTCCCGTCAAAGCTGCCCAACAGGTGGAGCTTCCACTGCGACCGATTCGGAGAGCAAACCACGTGGAACATCAAAGGGATTGCTTGGGTCCAAAGAAGACCTCCATAAAATCCATTCAGTTTTGACTCAGGACCTTGTGTTGGGTGCCTGAGAATCCGGATCTACTTCGATACATGTCAGCATCATGTCAGCAAACTTTCGTCTTTTCGTCGGGTCCAAACAGAACACCTGTGGCCTGGATCGCCTTTCGCTTAAATTCTGATCGTGCCCGGGCACTCACTGCTCTTGCGCCCGGAACTCTGGCCGGTCGGCGGATTTGGGAGCTTCAGCTTCAGGTGTTGTAAATGCCCTCGGTGGATTGCCGACACCTGTCTTGTAGTAAGGTATCCTTTTCTGGATTCTTTCAAACTGAGCCTAAAGGTAACAAATCCTTTTAGGGGCTCTCCTACTTTCAGACACGTCCTAGTTAAATCCAGTGTTGAGGCATCCAAGGCGGTGTCTATTCCTCAGTGCTTCTTGAACTGCTCTTGCAACCATATGATTTCCGTGGTGGGGGCAACACTGGCTGGGATGGATGATGGATAAGATGAACCCCCACGATGGGACAAACCGCCTATCAACTGCGAACAAATTCAAAACTGGTCGGCATCCTTTGGTTTCAACTCTAACCCCAACCAATCGGGAGGCTTGCTTGCCCCCGGTTCGGACCAAAGCCGCGCAGACCCGGTTCGCATTTTCGGGCCAATCTCGGCGCTTTGGAGCCCTCAGGCTCGGAAGTCAATCCTTGCAAATGGGCTGCCGCGCAGGGTGCGGCTGACCTGGCGAAAGGAAACGGATCGATTGAGCTGAGGTTTGACTCACTTGAGTGGATGGGCCAAAAACCGTCTAAACTTTCAGTCTACCAAAATAGTCTTCGTAAAGTTTGAAGTCCAGAAACTCAGGGACTGAGATGATTTGTAAAATCAGTGGTTGGAGCCGGAGTCTGTTTTCCAAACCTAAAACTCTTAAACAGAACGTTAGAGCAAACAAATTGTGATTATTTCCAGCCTAAAGGACCTCAGTTCACCAGAATGGTTGCAGTCAAGATTGGCAACTAATGAGTCGCATTTGATATGAGATCCATTCAACACCCATCAGGGACACTGGCAATGGACTTAGGGAGCTTTCGTGACTTGGCTGGGATCGAGTTTCATAATCGTAGGGTTTGTATGGACCTCATAGGAGTCCTAATCGAATCCTGGTGTGCACATGCTCTACCCAAAACCATGAAACAAATCAAGAGGGCGGCCGCACCTATGTATGGTTGGACTTATCCCTTAAACACCTGAAAGTATCTGGTTTTGATTGTGGCTCATATCGTCACACGTTGGACATCTGGCTCGACCACTCGAAAGCGCCTTTAAGGGCGTGACAAAAATACTGCTGATCTCCGGGTTGTCGATCTGAGCTGTTCTGAATATGTTCAAAGGAGAACAAAAAGGAGCCAGCACTTCGGCCACAATTCTCCCTGAAATCAGAAATCCCAAAATAGCCTTCATGGGTCAAGTGCGGCAGCTGACGCCATGTTGCATCCCAGAGCCATTGTGAGTTGCTTGATCTCTCGGAAGCCCAGTGGCCGTTCCCGCCGAAAAAAGAATAAACAACACACACACACACACACAAACACGCGACTGCAACTGGGCATTTGCAGAGACCTGTGTGACACAAACACGAGCAAACAGACATCCATGGCGGGCATTGCACAGGAATCTCAACTGGGGGGAATACGGAAACCTCAGGTCCCCCTTGCCAAGTGGTGCACGAAATTGATAGCCCGAACGGGTGTTGCCCGAAAAGTTGTGGGTTTTCTTCAAGTATGGTTCTTCCAGGAAAGCCGTAGCATAGACGTTCATGGGTCTGTGCGGCATTTTCACCGACTTACTCAAATTGTTGTTCTTGCTTCTCCTTTGTCCTGCTCACTTCTCCCATTTGCCTGGCTCATAGGGATTGTAGTAGACGTCCTGGTCCGGGATGCGGAACTGGCATCCTGAGCGAATTCTTCTGTCTGCTTTTCGTCACTTCAGCCTGTGGAAATCCCTGGCTTCGTGTATCCTAGCCCCACTAAAGGCAAAAGCTTGCAACCGACGGACCAATCCGTGCCCTTGAGAAACACAAGGACGAAATTCCGGGTTTGGTCTCCAAATGCATGTTTGAGGGTAGTCTTTGCAGGCTGGTTGAAGGAGAAATGAGAAGGACCCCAACCATTGCCTGGTTTCGACCCAGAGAAGCTTCATAGGTTCTGAAAAAAATATTTCCTGAAATTCCTTATGGTTGATCTTCAGGAAGAACATTCTTGAAAAATGGATTCATGTTCTTCCGGTCCGGATTGAACCTTTTGGGGGTCGGGGGCTACTGTCTCTCCCTGCACCAAACGTGCCATCGGATTGGAACCTCACTTCCTGATTCGGTCGGGCAGAAATTTGAGGGTGCCTTGGTACCCCGCGGGTCCCGGATCAGAGGCGTTGTGAACCCCCCCTTGCCCCCGACTTGTCAGTTGCGAGCGGACATAACAATGCCGAAGGCTCAATGCCTCACTCCGGACGCTCCAATGCATTAAGCACACAAAGTGGCCAACATTGCGGGGAAAACGGGGGAAAAAACATGTCCTCAATCATTTGCATCTACCTGGACCCTGAAACAACTCGTCAACACAGGAATCGCCCCACATGTTGGGGTAATAACAATTTTGAAGGGACATATATGGACAAATAAAGGTCCGAGCAAACCACGTTGGTCTCTCTGGAGCATACTCTGAGCCCCATTCGCCCTGGCAAAATGGGGGCACTGAAACCATGTGAAAAAGATATTGATTCAGCCTGCCTTGCGTTCCGCTGAGCAGGCATAGGGTCGACTAACAAACGGTGAGTCAATCGGTGAGTCAATTCATCTTTGGGAACAAGAAAGGGCTCGTTTTTCGATTTGGCCACACCTTCAAAATTATGTTGCTCTCTACGGTTGTTGGGTCGCGAGACGCTTGGAAACACGAAATGAATACCGCTGGCGGTCTGGGAAGAGCGTGGTAGGGAATGAGCTGACAAGAGGTACAACTAGCTATTCCAGCCCAATAGCAACACATTACCAGGTTTTCCTCCAACTCGGGGTAACAACCATGCGCGTAATTTACAATGAAAAGCAAGGATCCCCCAGAAGCTCTTGCAGTAATAGATTTTGATCGGCATCCTGAGAAGTTGATCTTTGGATGGTGGAAACATAATTTGGTCGCAGAGTTAGGTTATTCTCTAAACAAGCCCAGAACGAACTTCCCTCAAAAAGCACACAGGCTATTCAACACACCCATCTGAGTTGGCGGAGGAGCCCCTGCAGATTTGGCGGGAAGATGAACCACTTGCTTTAGGTTGTGATGGGTGGAAAAGTATGGGTTTG